GGGGGGGGGGGGGGGGGGGGGGGGGGGGGGGGGGGAGGGACCCAGATACTGTAACTACTGGTCTTTATCCCCTGCGATTTTTCCTGTTTGTTATTTCCCCAAAGATGCCAGCACAGGCTGGGAAGGTTTTAATTAAGAAACCCAGATGTGGATGATCAAAGAGGTGGAGGGAGGACTGGCCCACCAGCTTCTGGGTCTGGAGGTTCCTAATTGGGACCACAGAGAAGAGGACCAGAAAGAGAGATGGCGATTGGGAGAGAAAGCAAGAGGCAGACAGACAGATGAGAGAGGTGGAGGGGCAAAAGACCCTCTTTGCTGTGAGGTGGCTGAAGAGCTTGTTCTCTTGTCTCAGATGGGCAGACTGAGGCAGGAAGAGGTACAAGGCCAGGTGACCTCTTGAGCCAGGGTGGGAGCCTGGAGGTTTGAATCCTAGTTTTGCTGTGTCCTAGTTGTGTGATTGCAAAATGGGAATGATAATCGTAAACGTTACAGGATTGACATGAGGGCTAAATGAAGTAATACATGTAAAGGGCCTCATAGGTGAGTAGATACTGTATACACAGTGGCTTGTTTTGTTAGTAAACCGTTCCCTTACTTATTCCCTCTTGTGCCAGGGCAGCCCAGTGTTGAGAGATCCTGTCCTTTTCAAGGGAATGGATTTCTTTGTACTAGGAAATCAGGACTCTGTCAGCCACTCTCATCATCCTCTGCAGCTAATCACTCAGTTCTGCGACTGTGTTTTACTTTTGGCTGGGCCTGGCTCCCCTCTCCCTGATTTAGGTGGGGTGTGCGTGTGTGTGTGCGCGTGTGTGAGCGTAAATGGAAGTTAGAAGGCTGGGCTCACGTACTGGTTTTTACTTCTGATCAACAGTGTGGTGTTGGATAACCCCTTCACCTCTCTGTGCCTCACTTTCCTAATCTGTAACATGAATGAACATGGTTCGAAAAGTCCCCTTCAGAGGAGATATTTGATGTGAGGATTAAAGGAGATAATAGGTTTCCACAGAGATCACTGTAAATGACACATCTCTGCAGCATTAGCTGTTAGTGTGTGTGTGTTAGTGGAAGAATGTGTCATTTCATCTGTGCAGGAATGGGTGTGTGTGTGTGGAAGGCCATGGTGTTGAGTGATTGTAACTGGGAGTGAGTCTGTGTGAGTG